TAAAATATGAGTTTGCATAACACTTTTGAAGATGCTCTAAAAACCACATATCCAACAACAAAATGCAAAAGCTTAGAATGTGTAAAAATTTAACTTTGGTTTCTCAAATTTGGAGAACCAAAATTATTTTTTAACAAATTGTGTAAACATTTAAAATTATAAAATAATCACACTAAATCCCATTTAACCACAAAATATGGTATAAATACTCTAAGTAATTTTTTTTAATTAATAAAATTACCGAAGTTGAAGTTATATTGACGAAATATTTATATTTAATACTTCTTTGTTAAGACTATTAAAATATTAGTTATTATTATTATTTTGAATAATTTTGTAAATGGTTTTTACAATACAGTTGGAATATTAAACTTGAAATATAATTTTTTAAATTAATTAAAAAATAAAAATTTGCAAAATAATAAAATATGAACAATGTTGTTGGAGTGTGATGTTAAAAGTGGTGTTGTATAACACTGTTCATCTGCTAAATTATAAATATAGACAACCGTTTTTAAAATAGCTGTTGGAGATAGCCTAAGTGTTACATTTGTAACTTTAAGAGAGTAAGTGTTGCCAACCCTATACTTTAAGGGTGCATTTGGATGGAAGGATTTGGGGAAGAGATTTCAAATCCATAATAACAAATCCCTTGGACTTGTTTGGATTGAGGGATTTGGGGATGGATTTCAAATCCACACCCCTCCTTTTTAGTTATGTTTTGAGCAATTGATGTGGATTTCAAATGACTCCAAAATTGGAGTCATTTCAAATCCCTTCCCCAAATCAAATCCCTCCCCAAATCCTTCCATCCAAACGCACTCTAAGGGTACAAACTGTATTTAGCCCTAATATAAGTTCCAAGAATTTTGAAGAACAGAAAGATAATTGGTTTACATAAATTTAGAGTAGCAAATTTATTGCTTCCATTGAAATTTGAAAAGCTTTCCTGTACTCTTTTAAGCTACTAACTCCAAAAACAAATTGTCAAGCTCATTTCAATTTTGTGAGTTTAGCAGATAACCTACCTCGAACAGTGCTCAAATTAGGCTTACGTTTACGAGAGTTTTGTTTCCTCGGCTTTCTCCAAGTCTTGTTTCTCTGTAAGCGCTGATTACGAATCTCAGGATCTGCCCACCCTTTTCCCCATTCTGAAAAACTCGAACACGATTTGGGGCTTCTCATTGACAGCTGCATATCTGCTTCCGGGTAAACATGGAATGGCTTTTCCAACTCAGACTTCAAATATTGCAGCCCGGAATCTGTTATTTCCGGATATTTTATTTGAACATGGCTCTGCAAGTTACAATACCATGATCACTCATTATGCTGTGTGGGTTGTCAGATTTACTTCCGAAAGTGATAATGTGCACGTATGTATATGTATACATATACATATACATATACATATACATATACATATACATATACATATATATATATATATATATATATATATATATATATATATATATATATGTTCAAATGGTAAGAGCACAATCGTATCAGATTGCAGAAAAAACACTTGACACTTAAGGGGAGAGAGAGAGAGAGGTTTCTCAAACAAAATACTTGTAACTTTCTACAATCAGTGACAAATCCGAAAAATCATTAAATATCTCCTATTGTTTGAGGACTTGATAAAATGGTACAAATAAAAGTGTTATATGACACTAAATGAATTAATGAAGATCATACCTTGTCATCTCCATCTCGAATAAACCCTCTATCTTGTAATATACGGGCAAGACCACGCCACCATAACAAGTCACTCGCAGCAAATGTGTCACTCTGCAACACCAAAAGCATTGTTGAACGAACATATAGGTTTTTCAGCAAGCATAAATGAAGAGGAAAACAAGTAGAAGAAACAACAATACTGTTAAGAAAATAAAATCATAAGACAAGGAATATATATTAGCCCTTGATTCTTCATGACCCATTCAGTGTTTCTTTGGGAATATATATATATATATATATATATATATATATATATATATATATATATATATATATATATATATATATATATATATATATATATATTTCTACAACAAAATTCCGTTTAAGAAATGAATATTATTTAGAGAAGCCTTTTTACATTATTAATAAATGTTAGAAATGAATATATTGTCTGGATGAGCATTTAAGTAGATGTACCTGTTCCCTTATCCTACTCACAAATGCCCTAATGTTTGATTTTTCCATCAATCTCCTCCTGCTTCTGGAGCTCTCGATGGGATCATCATCATAATCACATAACCCATCTCCAAAATTCTGGAAAATAAATGTAATAATATTACACATGCATAAAATCAACATCCATAAGATTAGTGTCCCCTTCAAAACAACATATTTTGTTTCACCACAGAAAATTATTTGAATTCTTTTATCTTTCAAAGAATTTCTATGATATACACCAGACCGACCCCAATCATTTATAGGATTTAATGATCAATCAAAAAACATAATATGGTTTTTCTATAAATTTTTGGCAAAATTCTGAAGAAATAATCTGTAGCACAAGGATAAATATTATGGAGTCAACTGGACTCACATGATGCGTGGAAATACACTTCAATAGTTCTGTCGCTTCAACTTTCAGATCCTGAATTTCTGGAGGCCCATTGATGCAGACATCACATCTGTGCATTAAAGCAAAGCTAGATGAAACTTATGTGCAATTAAAGTTTCATGTAGCTCTTAGCATAATTAGTTTGTCCAAATAGAAGAATGTAATATTGATAACATATAAACGGATGAATAATACAAATTATGAACTGGTGTTTGTATTTGGGACTTGTTATACAGACAGAACGTGCCGGATTTTTTTTCAGATTTTGTTTCCTAGCAAGAAATACTCACCTTAGATCTATAGATAGCATGCCAGAATTAATCACATATTATAATAATGTACGTTTATAGTCTCACATATGTAGGAAGCATCCAAAAACCATGCATACAATGTGCATTAACGAGCAATTTGCAACTTCTTTCATCTAATCAGAGGATAAAAGTGTTGTTTGGAAAAGGAGTCCAACGATAACTAGAGAGTCTCACTGGAGATAAGAAGAAGAAGAAAGCACAAATTTGAATAACATGAAGATCTATTTCTTGCAGTCAAATAGTGTTATATATTTTTCCGATATTACAGCCTTAAAAGGTGAAGTTTGAGGAAGTGTGTAATAAGAGAAACGTGACATACAAGAGACATTTGTCCTGATAAAACTCCTCGCCGAAGTATTCTACAAGCATTTTTGCTCTGCAACAAGAAGTTCTCATTCCATACCTACAAGTTGTTGGAGGAAATGATATGGCAGCATGTACACAAGGAACTGATTGAAAAATGTAGAGCAGAATGTAAAAGAAACAAAAAAATATGACATTGACCTGAAGCAATCGGATAACATATTATAAGCTTGCTTTGTCTGTTCTTCACTTCTTTGACTTGGCAAAAGTGTAGGCATTCTTGATAGATTTGCATATAGGACTACTCGAAAGAAATACAAAAGTTATCATATAATGTCCAATCATGCTTTCAAGTTATACATAGTTTTATGCATAACAAAACATATTTACCACAGTCTGCTAATTTTCCATCCCGACCTGCCCGACCAGCTTCTTGGTAATATGCTTCCAAGCTCTATAGGGAATATAGTTATTAAAAGAACTGTGAAACAACGAAAATAGTACAGTCCCCCAGAAACGTAAGGTGAAAACACATAATCATAAACATGTAACGGGCGGGCGTATATAACCTAGATGTCAACTTGTCAACAAAAGAAATGCTTGCTTGATAGATTATTAATGGGAAATTACATATACACGTTGCAAAATAAAACTGCAAGACGTAGACCTGTGGCCAACCATAATGAATGATCCTCCGGACGTTCGACTTGTCAATACCCATACCAAATGCAATAGTTGCTACAACCACCTGCAAGAAGAAGAGAGTGTATGATTCAGCTTTTCGGTTAAAGTTCCTGTATTTTGACACATGATACATAATAACAGGCCCTCGGAGGCCACAAGAACCCAGAATCTCACTAATTTCAGTACCAGGTTTTACAAAAGTATTCATTTTTCGCAAACTTCTTTCAGATACTTGTAATGCTATGCTATTAAACAGTATTGCCATACTTTTGTTTATAAAATAACAATTTACTGGCTAAATCTACAATTTATTGTTCAAAGCAAATCAAAGGCTTGATTGGCGGTAGAAGACACAGATCATCTATTAGGAAAATGCAAAATTGAAAACAAAATATGGATCTGAATTTGCATAATAATTTATGTTTATGTGCTTCCATAACTTCAGATGTCCAATGACAATCCAGACTTATCTGACACTTGTAGTATTAATTAAATGACGACTTTTCTGGTAAAAACAAGATGCCGCATTGCATATAGTACAACATCGGGTACTCTTCAAGCAAAGTAACATAGTACTTCCAAAAGAGAGTGATTCAATGCACAATTAAACAGATATGGGAAAAAAACAGCTATCCACTATGAGATGAAATACACTTCTCCAGCTACGCAGCCGAATCAACGAATAAAGACAATACCACAACTTGTCATTCAATTTTTCTGCTACCTGTAACTCATCTTCATGAAATTCTTTGTGAACCTGCCTCAGATGTGACTTTGGCAACTACAAGGAAACGTAAGCAGATAAGTTAACAAAACAACCTCAGATAGATGTTGAAAACAAAACCTATTGTGACATATGTGGGATGATGGCGTGTGAGAAGCGAACTTTCATATCAAAACAATAAAAAAAAAAAAAAAAAAAAAAAAAAGAGTTCTTTCCCAGAAAAACGAAGAACATTGTTTAACCAAACTTAAACTGTTACACAGTTAGCAAAATATGTGGAATGATACTGGTACCTTGGCATTATAAGCAGCAGCCTTTACTCCGAAGTTTGATAGGAACTTTGTTATGCTCAAAGTTTCTTTTCTAGTAGGAGCATATATGATTGTTGGTCCATTTTCCAGATGTCCTTCTGCATCCCTCAGCAGATCTCGAGTCTCATCAGTCTTGCAATTATTGAAGTTTAGGAGTGGTTTCCCACAAAATTCACCACAACAAACTGTACCAATGTCAGATACTGTTACATATTTCTATCAATGTATAAAAATAAATGCAGTGGATCTTTACAACATTGAAAACTGAAAATACAGAGATTTGAGTTTTTGTATCATAGCACTTGGGGTTGAACAAAGCAATAGTACATCTGCATTGGTCAATGTAAGAAAATTCTAGGAATCTCGAGCATTTAATTCCTCTTCGAAGATTGAAAAATCAAAAAGGAGAAATATTCCAGAATTAGTTCAGTACCATCCAGGTCATCTACTTCTTGTATTTGATCGCAATCATCTTCCAGGTACTGAACTGACAACTGTTTATCATTTGGAGAGGCCAAGAAGTAATCGTCATCATCATCTGACAAGTCATAATCATCGATATCGTGTTCTTGATTTTTGCAGATTTCATCTAGTCTAGATGTGGTACAATCGGAGGAACCGCTTGGGTTTTTAGAGGAATTATCAAGATCCGTTGACATTAGTTTTTGGAAAGATTTCCGGTTTTTTGTATACAACCTTATCAACTCACTGAAATCCTTCTCATAGGAAGATATAGATGAAGTTCTACTATGCCTCACCTGCAAGTGTGGGAATAAATATCTCATTTGTTTAACTAAAATGTGATAAATAACAAGCTGCAATCAATGTATATTTGAAAAATAAACTAATATTCCTCATCCATATTAACAATAACTATAAGAATTGCAATGATATGCTGATTAGTGCAAGAAAATAAGTAAACACAATTACAAATTAATGACAGTTCTCAATATTGATGGATTTAATATGATAATTTAGGGTATTATTTTACATGTGATTTAATATGAAATGGTAGTTGAGTACCATTTCGCCCACCACAATTTAACAGATAATTGCTTATAAGTTACAAGTTCTTATGTACATTTTCTCTATAGACGTTGTGATCATATGAGCAAGATAAGCTAAAGTTAGATTCACGCTAAGATAGATATTCATAACGAGTAAGAGAAACATTAAAAATTAGTAATAGTAAAGAAAATAATTAAGAGATACTCGAATGACTTGCTACCCGAATGTCACTTAAGGATCATAGAAATATTTTCTTTGTCAACATACTACTTGACAACATTTATTGATTGATTTTTCGGCACGATCACGAATACACATTCATATTTTTATTCATTTTAAAAACCAAATTTTTTAGTTGTTTTGACACTCTATGGAGTTGATTGACACCTCAATCTCTATTACTCCAACCACGCTGTAACTTTTGGTGTAATCACAAGTGTTGGCACAAATAATAGCAGCAGCAGTAGCAGTAATAAGTAATAACTACAAAAACGATGTAGTGGTAATAAAGGATGACAAAATTTAGAATACAGGTTGACACAGAGAAATAAAATCACGAAACTCAAGTACCCGAATGTGCAACCACATAGAAACACAACACTTACAGAGAAACGAAGATTTGGTCGGAAAAATGAAGTGATAACAATTTTGGTGTTCTTTGACATGCATAATGACTTCAGTATGTCTTCTCGAACGCGAGTAGTAGCAGTAGCAGTCAAAGCCATCAATGGAATGTCAAACTTCAAAAATTTCAATTTCTGAGCCGTGAAGTTCTCTCTTAATACAGACAATCGCCTAAAATATTTTGGACGAGATGAGAGTAATTTTTTCATACCCTTTGGATCAAAGTTTCATAGAGGGGCAGAAATTTGAAAGCAATAATCTGATCGATACATATAAGTGAATAAGTGCATGTCTGCATATATGCACACCTATGAACAAGAAAGTTTTACCAGTTTAGCATGGCACTTTAGATAAACTTATCATCCCTTTCTTTAAGAAGCATACATGTACACATAAATAAATGTGCATATCCATGTGAGCAACATTCCATATCTTTATGTCTGAGTTATTCCATATGGCGTAACAAAGGCCTTTCCTCACTTCAATTTCTCAGATACACTTTAATTTTATAAATTCAAAATTTTAGAAACAAGACTCGTTGTTGACACATTTAATGACGAAAAAGGTTCATTATATATTTAATGGTTGGGCTTTACTTGGGTTGTTTTGAAGGGAAAACAAAAATGAGTTTGGCCCAAGAAAAAACGACAAACTTATTTGTTTCCTAGCCTAATTGTGATCCCATTGTAAAATCGTTACAATCTCACTAAAATTGTAGAATTTAAAGATTTTAAGGATTTTACTCGCAAACTTGAAGAACTGGTTACAATCTTAAAACGTCTAAAGAATAATCGTTAGTGAGATTTTAGTGATTATTCCAAAACGTTTTAGGATTTTAGTGACATTTTAAGGATTTTTACATCTTTTGACGTCTACTGTTGTTGCACTTCAAATGTTAGTGAGGCTTAGAAGATATTAGCTATTATTCCAGAACATGAAAGAATATGCATGACATAGACAGTAAGCAGATCTCTATATTTAACAGTCAAAAACATAAGATAGATACAGTTTTATCAGAAGCACTCAGCCTATATGCCTATAGTACCAAGATATCCTCTTGTAGTACAAAAAGCTACATGGTGAAATCAAATCAATCATTGGCAACTTAAAATTTGACATCAAAGATCAGCAAAGACGAAAAAAAGTTCCCAAAATAGTAACTAACAACAGCAGTGCACACCTTCCTCGTTCTCATTTGCAGAGAACTCTATGAGAACAGTTTCAAAACACTAATTAATATTCAGGAAGAATACCATGAAACATATTTAAGGTAAGAGTTAGAAATTTAAGAGGAAGAGAAATGAAGGATATAAACCTGTAGTCAGGTCGAAAATCATGACCCCACTTAGAAACACAATGAACTTCATCAATCGCAAATAATGCAATCCCGTGACTTTCTGCAAGGCTCTGAAGTGGTGTTATTAGCCTGCCAAAAATAAAAAGAAATGGATGATATTATTATCTTTCAAAACTTAAAGATGCATTATGAGGAAACTTGTGAAACAGCAAACACGAGAGTTCACCTTAAAATTGTCTCTGGGCAGGCATAAATAATGTTATATTCACCACTCATTGCTTTCATTTCAACACTTTTGTCAATTTGACCAGATCCGAGGAAGCAAGCTGAAACCCCATGCCTCCCTAGTTTCAAGCACTGATCATGCATCAAGCTAATTAGTGGTGAGATAACAACCACCACCTTCCCAGATATTAGTGCTGGAACCTGAAAACATAACGATTTTCCTACCAAAAACAAAAATATGAAATTCCTTTGAGAGATGGAAAATTTTAATAAAGGAAGGGGCAAGAGTGAAAAATACCAGATCCCGTTGCTGCAAGAACTAGACAATCTTGGTTAGATAGCCAAGCTGCTAGAACTTCCTTCTGAAATCCCTTCAAGGATGAGCATCCAAAACGTTTGCGGATTAGATTATTCACCTCTTTTACCCAATCACTTCCTTTTGAACTAGTATTCACGATTGAAGAAACTTCTGGTCGTTTTACATTACCTATCAAGAAATCCGTTTTAGAGGTCGATGCATCAAATAAATCTGTGGCCTTGCTTTGTTTGGGTCGTGGTGCCGATTTCAGGTGCTCTGTTATGTTCTTTTGGCGCATTTTGCCAGAAGATCGAAGTGATTTGTCAACAACTTTGTTTTCTGTGAGAGAAACGGAAGAGGCTGATGCACCACCATTATTTCTACAAGAGTTGTTCAAGATAAACTCAATTACATTATCCAGCGACAGACCCACTGCTTGTATGGCTTCTGTAATGTCTGAGATACCAAACCCCATTTCAACCAATTCCGCTATCATGTGATCCGAATTTACATTACTCCCATCCATTGGTGATAAACTACATTCAGCCAAACACAAAAGAATAAAAATCAAGCAGACAAGGTAGGTACAATCAAAACACAGATCAACGTGACGCAGTAAAATACTAGTGCAACACAAAAGAGTTAAATTCTGAATTAAATATATCCTAATTTGATATTTCTCTATTCAACACAAGTCAGATCAAAATTATTAATTGACTATTTAAAGCCAATTATTGGAGCCCATTGACAATGAAACGAGCAAAATTAGGGCTCAACAACAACTACATGAAATGGGTTATGGAACGAAGACCCAAAATTGTAAGTTAGAAACGTCTGCACTGTATTCACTCAACCCCATACAAACAATACATAAATCCAAGTACAATTTGGTTCAACTAAGAACATAGAGAAAACCATTATAGAACAAAAGTTCAACACATTCATATATTGTAACAAATTACAAAATCAGCGGAAACAAATCGAACAGCATTTCACTATATATCATTTAGAATAAATAAACGCACATCTAAACACGTATATATAGATGATTGTCCACCAAGTTTATGATGTCTTCGTACACTTCTAACCCAGATAAAGTTCGAATTTACATGGTGAGCTCGTACCTAAGGAATGAGAATTGTAGAATCGCGCCAGAAACCACGGTTCCTGAATAGAACTAGCGACTGCTGACGACGTCGTTTACCTCTGTCCTATCAAACTATTTATACGGACAATTAGTTGTTAAAATTTAATTTATCTGCTCAAATTAAACTAGGGTTAATTGCAAAGAGGCCGGCCATGGGACTTAATTACAAAAGGGACATCCACTTTTTTGGGTTTTTAAATAATTCAAGTTCATTCAAATTTATCTGCAAATAAGAAAAAATACTAAAATTACTATAATTCTTTGAAACTCAATTTAACTCCAAATCATGATTTACACCACAACTTAGTTCAATTAACCAATTTTGATCTTTATTCTAATTTTGACCCCAATTTTGATCCCACCGTCGGTTAGCCACTGTTGACCGTTGGAGACCGCCGGTCACCGGCGTTGACTTTTTTTTTTTGGAAAACTTTTTTTTTCTGAAATTCTTTTTCCGGTAGGTCAACCGCTGGTCTCCGGGCGTTGACTTTTTTTTTCTTAAAAAAAATCATTTTAATTAATATTACTGTCTTAGGTGCTAAATTACTGTCTCCAAAAGTAATTGAACTGTCGTAGACAGTAATTTAACTATTAATTTAACTGTCGGGGACAACAATTATTTTTTCAAAAAGATATTAAAATGGGGGTTAATGTAATATATTTTTTTAAATTCGGGGTCAATGTGTAATATTGAGAAAGTTTAGTATAATGGATGAAATTGATAAAAATTATATTATGAACGGTATTTTACACAAAAAAAACATGGGAATAAATTATTTGGAAGACTATTGTTTGTCTGGACCAATGTGCATTTAACTCCCTTGTCGTGTGCATCTTTGCTATTTGCCCATTAAACTATATCCTCTTAAAGTTTCTTTTGGTTTGTTTATTTGAGTTGGATGGGATAGAGGTAGGAAAAGTAATTAAGTCGGGCCTACCCAAACTCAATTGTTCGGCTTGATTTTATTTGAGCCGAGTCTAACTAACTATGAGCCCGACCGAGTTCAATTTTTTTTTTATAGAATGTATGTTTGTCTTTCTTTTTTCGTTATTCAATTTAACATTTTATATACTATTATAAAAAAAGCTTTTTTTTCTTACTTTTTTTCTACATAATATTTAAATTTAAAAAAAAATAAAAAACATGTTAGTTTTTTCATTTTTTAATTTCAATTTATATATTTTTCAATTTTTATATAGTATATTGTGGTGTACTATGATTTACTATTCCAAATCTTAGCTACCAACAACTTTCAGCCGTCACAAACCCTAGCAGCCAACGAAGCTACCTCCAACCCTAGCACCCAATAGTCACAGCCACCGCGACCGTAGTCAAGTCATCTATCAACTTGGGGAAAACCTAAATTTATCATTTTGAACCCAAACCAAAAGCAAAATCTCTTAAAATGATTCCAATGACATCTGGGAAAACCTAAATTTGTCATTTTGAACCCAAACCAAAAGCAAAATCTCTTAAAATGATTCCAATGACATCTCGGACACCGCCACCTCCACCATGATTTCAATGAAATCTCTTAATGTAACTTTTTAGTTAATATTCGGAAAATAGATATTTTAAAATAAAGAGATTTTTTGGGATTTGTTTTATTTGACTTAAAGAGTATTTTTACCACAATAAATATTATTAATTTATAAATTAGCCGACTCACAAGTATGGGGTTCTAGCACACTAGGGGTGTGCGCGGGCCATAAACCCGCGGGTTCTATCAAAACCCGCCCTCGTCCCGTCAAACAACGGTTCTTGATTTTGAAGAACCAAACTAGTGGGTTTTTAACGGGTTTACGATAGACTGGTCCATGGCGGGTTTGTAGTAGGACCCAACCTTTACGGGTCGAAACCCGTTATCGTCTAAACTATTTTTTTTTTATATATATAATTTATAAGTTTTACGGGAGAATAATTAGAAACTAAAATGAATAACCTAAAATTTTAAATTGAAACCAAACATAAATAATGTAAATGTCAAGAGTAAATAAAAATTAATATAAAACTAAAAATAACTAATTCATAACTTAAAAGACAAAATTTAAATAAAATAAATATAGTTTTTTCAAGCATAACCAACGCTATTCAGCTCAATCATTTTCTTCCCTTTTTTTTTTGCCGTGTGTTGACCGTTGTATATATATGCTTTTTTTTCCTACATTTTCTTAGAGATTTTCATAATATTTATAGCTATTACTTCCACAATTATAGTTTAGTTGATTTATGTATTTGATACACTAGAGATACTTTATTTATTCATTAATATTATTAATTTATTATACTATATAATGTAAACAAAACGACGTCGTTTTGTATGGCGGGGCGGGACGGGTTTCCCGGGTATTAAAAAAAATGGAACCCGTCTAAGACCCGAACCCACGGTTCTTCACCATTTTAGGACCCAATCCTATGGATGGATCTATCCGTCCGATCCCAAAGGGACGGCTTTTCACGGGTTTAACGGGTGTAGCGGGTTGATGGGTCTGACTTGCTCACCCCTATAGCACACTACTTAAGAACATGATTGTTCTTAACTTAGAAAAAAAAATGTTTGTCTATGGAAAACCGATATTATTCCACAACTTTTATTTACAGAAACCCAAGGAGGAGGAAAAAGAAACATTAAAAAAAATATAGAATTATATATATACATATGAGTATTCCCTAGTTAATAGCTAAAAATGTAGAATCACCAATCGCCGCCCATGTCGCCCATGGCATCACCATATCCATCAGCATAGGCAGCAGATTCCCCAATATCAGATGCCATCTCTCCCACTAACAATCCCCCCAGCAATCCAGCACCTAATCCTAATCCTAGTCCACCTCCCATCCCCATCTTGTTCTTCTTCGGTGGCTGCCCCCCTTGATACCCGTATCCAGGCGGCGGAGGTTGGTACCCATACCCTGGCGGCGGAGCCTGGTACCCATACCCTGCCGGCGGCGGAGCCTGATACCCATACCCAGGCGGCGGCGGAGCCTGATACCCATACCCACTACTCTGAGGATAAGCCCCATACCCTACCGGATGAGGAGGATTGGGATATCCCGGAGGAGGAGCGGCGGCGTAGGGCGCCGCCGGATACGCAGTGACTGGATCATCCACGTGGCGTTTGGCCTCAACTTCCTGTTTGAATTTCTCCCCAAACTGATAGGAAAATTTGAGGGATCCCTTTGATTTGCCGGAGGGGGTGTGCAACTGATACTCGACTTGTCGATCTTCTTGGGTGGTGGAATCTGGGTTGAAGAGATCGTGAATGGGGATGGTGGCTGAGCCGATCTCCTTATCGGAGCCGAAAGTGCTCTCGGCCTTGAGCTGAAAGAGGAGAGAGAGACCTGGCTTAGTGAGATAAGGCTCATCGACGATGAATTCCATACGGTGATTCCATTTGGGAGTGGTTCCAGAATTCTTGTCAACAAACGTCTTCTTCATAGATTGAGGGTATCCCGCGATTGATACTTGCGCGTATACATCCATCTTGGAGAACAGCTTCACGTCCTTAATCCCATCTGCCGATATCACGTTTATTTTCAATGGTCTGTACTCCATTGTTGAATGATTTTGATGATATACAACTCAATGGGATTAAAGAAAATATTTGTGTTTGTTTGGTGTACGATAGTAATTAATAATATGGAATTATGGATGAAACATGATTGTGGGTTGTGGGTGTATATATAGAGAGAGAGAAGAGAGAGAGAGAGATTAATGGCGGTGGTGGAGAAGGAATAAACCGAGAGGTGAGGTGAGTAATAAAAGGAGGAAAAGGGGGAGAAGTTTCGGGATAAACCGACTAAGGAAAGGATATGCGGCCTACTTGTCCCTATCTCTCTAGAAATAACCGGTCCCACGAATATAGTTCGCGTTCTCTCCGCGTTGAAATTGTGTGATGTAAACAATCACAATAATTATGTATTATTTAATTTAAGCGACTAATTATATCTAATCCCCTTTCAAATTCAAGACTTTTTTTCACAATAAGTCGGACTTTTTTTGTCATCAATTCAAGACAGCTACACCCTCCTAGTTCATTTGGACAAATTGCATTTAATCCCCTTTCAAATTTCAATTCTTACACTAGATCCCTGTAAACATAAATAATAAATGGGGTCATTAGTAATAAGGGTCCATTAGATATACACCCCTCATATGGAAAATAAATAGGGATAGGTCCACCCCTAAAATTCTTTCTTTGAGATAACCCCCTAGAGAGGGAAAAGTACTATTGTGCCCTTATTTTACTATTTTCGCCCAACTGCATTCAGCATTTTTGCTACTGCATTTAGTGTTTCGTTTTTTTTTTAATTTTTTTTTTTTTTTTAAGCTTTTTTTTTTTCTGATTTTTTTGCCCGAAAACTTTCCTGTTTCGAATATGACTATATAAGTTTTTTTTTTTTTTTTTTTTAGCTTTTTTTTTGCTGATTTTTTTTTCCCGAAAACTTCACTGTTTCGAATATGACTACATATGATTATATAAGACTATAGTCATGTACTGTCTTTTTACCCAAAGTTATGGTCGACCGATTATATATATCGTTGATTTTATAAAAAAAAAAATCATCTACATCTCCAGCAAAATTCAAAATTTGAATAATGATATTATAAATCAATTCGCACCCAACAAAAAATTGAAAAAACGCAATCATCAACATCACTATACATCAGAATCACCACATATATAACTTATATATGACTATATATAACTACATGTGAATATATATGACTATATCTATATGACAATATGTGACTATATATGACTACATGTGACTACATGTGACTAAATATAACTACATGTATATGACTACATGTGACTATATATGACTACATGTATATGACTACATGTGACTATCTATAAAAGTATAGTCATATATAGTGAAATACACAGTCACATGCAAATGTTACTAAATGTTACTATATGTTACTATATATTACTACATGTGTCGAAACCCTATCAAACTTTTTGCCATCAGGGTCTAGCTCGTCAACTCGAAATATATCTTCAAAAAGTGTTTCCACCATAGTTACAGCACTGTGTCGAAACCTAAATCCAAAAACAAAACACGATAAGTCCAAAAACAAAACACGATAAGTTGTTCAAACATCAAGACCTGTGACAAAAAATCAAGTTTAGTTTAAATATTTGCATTATAAATCAACAGATAACCAACAAAATGCAGATCGAAAATACACAATCACATGAATATGTTACTACATGTTATTGTATGTTACTATAGATTACACTTTGGATGGATGGGGCAATTTATTCCAAGTACCCCGTCTTGCTATGAACTCGAACTCTGTTTTATTCCAGATCCAATTCATCCCAAAACCAAATCCAATATTTTTATAACGATTAAAAAAAATGAAATAAACATAAAATAAAATCATATATACCAGTAGAGTAGGAGGTTTTCATCTAATTTTTTTCTCACATTGACAACAAGATGGTTGTCGGTTGTCACATTAATAATGGGGCCTGGGAATTTGCCATTTACAACAATTATTTTATTGAATTATTTGAATATAATTAGTAGGAATTAAAAAGCTTACACATTGTGTGAAGTCCATTTTCTTGTAATCATCCCAGCTCAATTTTGCCTCCCCTGTTTCTGTCTCTCTATTCGCTCGCCATAGCAATTTCCATATGTTCTTCCTATTTGATGAGAGAGAAGTCTTTTTATTTAATTATATATATATCAGGTTAATTAATTAATTAATTAAGTGAATGAATGGTGGCTTACTCTTAATTTTTAAACAGCAGTAGCAGTGGGGCAGGCCTGCAAGAAGTAAATGGCGAGAGAACAAGCAACCGACGAGAACATGAACGGCCAGAAGCACAACCGCGACGAGGGCGGCAGGAGAGACTTCGGCGGCGGCAACGACGGAAGCCCCGTCGGGAGCGGCGCTGGAGGCTATGAGGAAGGAGGCTCTGAGCTCTGCGACGGAAGGGGGAGCGGCGGAAGGGGTATGGTTGGAGAGAATGGTTAGGGTTTGGGTGAGAAGAGAGAACCAAATGAGCATATCGTGACTTATTCTAAAAACAAACTGCCCATTAAGGGTAAAAGGGTCACATTACTATGTCTAGGGGGGTCTCCCTAATTAAGATCAAAATTTGGGTTTTTGACTAGAATAGAAAAATTCTTTGGACCTCTTCATATATATTTTCAAAACTAGGGGGTTATCACTCATTTCCCCTAGTAATAAAGCCCTTATATAGACAAGAAATAGAGATATGTCCACCCCTTAATTTTTTATTTTTTATTGTGATAACCTCTAGAAATTTTATTCACAATTCTACCTTTATGTCAATTAACATAATTAGCCCTAATTATTCCTTTTTTTTTCTCTCTTTCCATAACAATAATCTAATTCCTAAAAATCTTCTTCCAAATTCCTAACTAAATGATACCATATAAAAAAAAAATTATATATTATTATTTTTGGATTATTTAGCCATTTTTTATTTATTTTTATTTTTTAACATTTTTTTAATAAAAATATATTTTTTTATTTTTTTAAACAAAAAATTGAATTTTTTTTCTCGACAGGTTTACAACGCCGAATATGACTATAGTTGAATATGGCTCTATATGTGACTATATTAACTTTAGTCATATTCTTTTTTTATATTGTACTTTTTACATTTTCAACTTAAAAATTCCGATTAAATAGTGTGGTATAGTCATGTTTACCAAATTATATAAAACAAAGAAGATTCCCTATTGTTTACGAAAACAATCCAATCAATATCCACACAAAAATAACAATTTGAATCTAGTTATTAGAAGTTAACTTGAAAACGAGAAGATAGAACATATCCGAATATGACTACAGTCATATTCAACAATAGTCATATTTGAATATGACTATAGTCATGTTACTGAGTTGTTCAGATCTGAAACTGTATTTTCAGATCTGAAAAAAAAAACAAAAAAAAAAAAAAAAAGAGAAGTCGAAAAATACATAAATAAAGATAGAAAAATAACGAAAGAGAGGGAGGGGGAGTCGACGACAACGGCTGTGGTGGCGGTGATGAAGGAAAGAGAGTGAGAGAGGCGGCGACGGTGGTGGTGGTGGACAAATCTGGAGAAAAAAAAAACTGAGAAATCGAGAAAGATAACGAAAAAGAGAGAAAGAGCCTTACGTGTAAACGAGGAGGAGGCGGCGGCAACAAGCGGCGACGGTGGTGGTGGTGTACAAATCTATGTGGAGACGATGGTGGTGTAAAGAGAGAGAAATCGAGAGCCAACGAACACGAGAAATTAATAAATCACTAATCGAGTGAATCAACAATAGTCATATTCGAACCAGACTATAGTCACGTTAATGCTACTGCTTCAGATCTGGAGAGAAAAAAAAAAGAAAAAAAATCGAAAATAACGAAAGGGAGGAAGGGGGAGGCGTCGACAATGACCGTGAATGAAAGGGAGAGTGGGGACGTGGCTACGGTGGTGGTGCTGGACAGATCTGGGGAAGCAAAAAAACTGAGAAATCGAGAGAGATAACGAAAAAGAAGAATCTCCATGTAGAAATCACGCATCTGACGAAGGGCGGCGACGAGGTGGGGGAGGCACCGCCGCCACCACTTGTACGGAGGACGGCCTCCTGCATCAGGTTTCGGCAGGGCGGCGGTTGAAAGGTATTGTTGGCTCCCGGCGGTGACGAGTGCACGAACAACGGTGGCTATGGTGAGCGGACTACGACGGTGGTGTGAAAAAGAGGAAGAAGGGCGCCGACAGGTATACGGATCTGCAGAAAGAAGGAAAAAAAAAAGAACAAGAAGAAGAGAAATTGAGATATAGAGAGATAAAATTGTATCACGATAAAAACCTAACCACATAAGGGCACATTAGTCTTATCATGTTTGGTCAGGAGGGTCTCACTAATTAAAAATGAAACATTAAAAATGAAACTTGGGTGTATGCAAAAATCACTAAAAGTCAATTAGGTTTAGTTGAAAATATTTTCCATTTGAGCGGGGTATTGCATATTTCACCATAATAAATTATGGCCCCTAAGAGCTCAATATTATATTATTGGGGCTATTTGACAAAAACCCCTTAATGAATTTCCTTATTATGATAGCCGCTAATTTAAAATTCATATCAGTCATAGACCCATTAGATGCAAATTACCTAATTTACCCTCACGTGGTGTTTTTGGATTTCTTTATTTTTTATATATTTTTTAGTTAAGTTTTATGTTTATTTTAAATGAGTTTTTTTTTCTTATTTATATTTTGGTTTTTATGTTTTTAAAAAAAATTAACCTTGGTTTTTTTTTTCAAATGGTTTTTTTAATCGGTTTAGACAATTCAAATTCAGAACAAACTTATCAAAATCCACTATTTTTTTTTTTTGTAAATTCAGTTTTTTTCTTCAGTAGGGTTACAAATAAATGAAATCCACTACACATTCGTGGAAATTGAAATTCACTCATTGAAATCCACTATAAAATTATCGAAAGGGGATCACTATTTCAAATCCCAACTTTTGCTTACTTGAATACCAAAAAAATAAAAAATAAATAATTAATTATAAATTACTTTAATACCCTTAATGAAATTAAAACTAAAAAAATATTACAAATACTATTTTTCTTTCTTAAATACCAAATAATCAAAAACTCAAAAAACCATTTCCCTCCTTCTCCACCTCCTTCTTCTCCCTCCCCAAAAACCCTTCTAAAAAATCTTCCTCACAACAAACCCTTCTAAAAAATCTCACAACAAACCCTTCTAAAAAATATCAAAACTAAAGAAATTAAAACCTCACAAAACGTATAAAATTGAGTTATAAGACAATAATATGGTAGTATATATGAAAGGAGAACACATTAAGGTAAGTATCGATGTCTTTTTTGAGCTTCGAAGTCGATTTTGAAGTTTTTTTTTTTTGAAACCCGTCGGCAATTTTCGACACATACAGGTCGATTTTTTGGTCAATTTTCGACACCAACGTGTCGAAAAAC